TGAATATTCGATGAATCAGGCATTTGTTTAGTCAGTTGATGAGAACAACTTCGAGGAACTATTTGACATTGCTGACTGTTGTATCGGGAGATATGGTGGTTTTGTGTCCAGTGTATTGACTGATTTCGACTGAGTATATTTAGCCCTTCAAATTTAAGATTCGTGGCCGAAAGTATTGCTAGTTGCAGGTTCGATTAATATGGTGGTGATGTAGCTCTTCCCTCTGCGCTTATTATAACTCTCTTGAAGGTGTCCACATAGTTTGCTGCCTGACCATCGGAATGGGCATGATATGATGGCTTCCGCACTTGTCGTGTGTCATTTTTTCAAAGGGAATCTTTAATTAGTTTCAACGTGAACTGACTACCGTTGTCGGATAGAATGGTGTCCGGGATGCCACTGCGTGCGGAGATTTTGTTGAGTGCTACTGAAGTGCGAGTAGTGGATAGTGGGGTAATTTGCACTACCCATTTCCATCTTGAATGAGCACCCACTCAGCTCGCCGGCTCAGCGAAATCCGAATGTCGTCGAGAACATTGTTGTGATGACGGCCATCGTGGTGGGCTTTTGGTGGCGGCTTGACGTGATTCGCACCCATCCTGGAATTCACTTATATCAGCAAGAATACTTGCCCAGAATGCATAAATCCTTGTCGTAGACTTCACGTGCGCAGTTAATGAATGCCCATTATGAAGCTGTTTCAACATAGTCTGTCTCATGGTGTTAGGTATTCCCACTCGTTCGCCAAACACTAATCGGTCATTATTGATACTGAGACCGTTATGCTGGTGAAATACTTCCTTGAGGTCGTGTTTTGACCTGGATGCTGGCCGGTAATTCTGGAGGAACCCCGTCGCTTGTTTGAGAGTATCATTTCTCTCTCTTTGTAGGTGGCCCTATTTGTCTCTTTGTAATCGGCAGCCACTCAGTGGTTCACAACAACTTTCCGGCTTGTCATAGCCTCATCCGGAATGACTGATAATCTGAGTCTAAAACTACAAGAGAGGTGGACGTGTTGATGTTCTCGAAAGAAGAAACTTACACTGTTGGGACGGAATATTCTCTGCAGCATTACTGGGGTAGTATTTCTCAGGCAAATTGAGGAGATTTAATTGAATTTGTGATTTCTCCATCGATTGATTGGATCAAAGTGCTCGGTCTCAGATTGACATATTGGCTTCTTGTGCAGATCCAGATGTTGACGAGTCCCAAATAGGACGCAGTGCGCATCCTGGATTCCACTGCTAGTCACCATCCACCAATTAAACTTGAGGAGGTTGTTCAATAATATCATACAGCATGCAGACGGTCTATTAGAATCCGAGATGGGCATCAGAGGGTGATGTGGAGGAGACAGTTTGATGAGGAGGTGAAACGTTATTGGCGGTCATGGAGTCAGCCGAAATGGACTACTGAGAACAGGATGTAATGCAGATGTGATTTTTAAGCCTTATGTTCAACTGGAAATCCCAGAGAATAATAATCGTAATAATTAGTTCCTAATAACCTTTGCAAGAAAATCCTGTATTTGACTAACTCCATGTGAATTTGTCCATTCGCTTACTCTTGCGGATTCAGGCATATCTGTCGTTCCACGTGAATTTTGCGCAACACAATACAACAAGACTACAAAACGCGCCTTAAATGGACGTGGAATTGGTTCTGTTAGACACTGAGTTAATAAATGTCTTGTACATATCTGTGATCTTATCTCGTCAATCTTATCCTATAAAGTTAGCTTTAAGATCATCCTAAAGTCACAGAGAATTCATGTCATCTGTGTTTTGTCATGGGAATGGAAAAACCGAAGCTCTTCATTTAGAATAAACTTATTCAACCTCTCTTCCCTTCTTAGTTATAAGTTATATGTATAATATATATAAAGTTTTTTCGCGTTTGGTCACGGATTTACATCGTTTAAAGTGCCATTGTAAACTAGGAAGTACTAGACAGCTGTTTCGTCCTGGTTTTTAGATCATCGGCATTACGCACCCACCACCAGTTTTCGAACCCAGCACCTCGGGATAACAAGGTGAGTTAGCTCGTGGACCATTAGGCCAGGGGTACACGATGCAATAACCAACCCCTGAACTCTAACTTATACCAATTGACGATATAACGCGACTGGCACCACCCGATGACACAGATGGTATTCTCACACTCATCGAGCTCACTTTGTGACCGGAAGCTCCTGGGTTCAAATCCCAGCTGGTGAGTACTTTAATCATTTTGTCTAATCACACAACTCTCTATCTATGATTGTTGGCCTTTATTGTGCATTCATTTAATTAGGATAAACCTGTGGGTGTGACCCACTAATTTGTACTCATGACTCTCACTTATCGGATCACATATCGATTCGTACGACACTCCACCAAATTCAGATTAGGTGAACTGGGTAGTAGCGTGAATGTACAAAATCACTGAATGCTACTCAAAGCCTAGCAATGAATAACTGAGGTCTAACTAATTAACTCACTATCTATGCTTGTTTAGATTGATTATGCCTCCATCTGATTGGGACCAACACTTACAAATCTGACTATAATTTCGCAATTATTTTATTATGATGCTACATGCTACTGACGGGTTAAAATGAGTAGTTGGATACCACTGATAGTAACCAGTAGAGCTTACTAGCTAGCCAACAAACCGGACAGCCAGGTAGATCGCAGTGATCTATACACTGGATATCCGTTTATGTGTAAATTGTAAACTGTAAATGTAATACAAGCCAGAGCGTAACCATGCGTGATGGAAAGGTATGGGATATCCTTTTTCAGGTGTTCTGGTCTAGGGATTCGATTCACATACCAAGGCATGACATCGGCCTGAGAACCAGCGCGAATAGTCAACTGACCTACCTCATAACTTGAAAGTGCTACGTTCAGCCCCTAACTTTTGGTGATTTCGGATGTCAACTGCTGCAGGATTCAGAGATAGTACGGACTATCTGGTCAGTGCTCTTCTGGTCCCCAGTGGTTCTTTAATTGATGTTAGCTCGTTATTTAAAGTCAAATACTTTTTCGACAAGAAGAACACTGAACTGATAAATGAGAAATGTGCTGAATGACTTCAGTAAGATAACAGTAAAATAGTATTATTATCATTTTGTTATAGTCCCCCTGGATTCCAAGTGGGACACAGCGGTTTTAACATAACATCTCCATTTCTCTCGACTATCTGTTGTCCTCTTTAGCTGGCTAGCACCACGACTGACTATAATCTCTCTTTTCTTCTTCACATAGTCTCCATGTCACCATTAAACAGACGCTCAACTTTTCTTTTCTCCTTTCAGATTTCACTCGAGAGATACCGTGGCTCGTAACGACATTCAACGGTCTTCCGAGCGTGTGTCCCACTCATCTCCATTTTCATCTACGTATTTGTTGAGCAATAAGTTCTCCATCGGTTCCTTCCCAAAGTTTCGTGCTGCAAATTCTTTCTTGTTGGCAAACATTTGATCTTCGATTTGGAGCGAACAAAGACAGTTTTTGATGAAAGTCTGAAGTGGCCTATTTGAAATGCTTTTCGTGAAGAAACTAATTTTCAATTGATTTATTTCGACTGGATCAACAAGATTATTGGCACGTAGTACAAATATTATACGGAACAAGAAAGTCGGTATGTCCTAAAGAGCAAGAATAAGAAGCAATTTTATGGTACACGTTTCTTTTCCTTTCTTTCGCAGGGAGGTGTTATATAAAGCTAATCTGCCTAAAAGACTACATTTATTTTTACCGTACATTGCTATTTGTATTTCCGCCAACTGTGACCTTGAAACCCTAATTATTGTTGACTATTAAAAATTATCACTGTACTTGGTGTCTCCTATAGTAATTTAGATAGGATGCATACGCAATCGCTGAATTGGCAGAAGTTAGAATTCATGGACTGGCCATTGGATCGGGTCCCCGTGCGTTAATGGTATAAGAGCTCGCCTTGTAGCCAGAAGGTCGTCAGTTCGAACCCCAGTGGGTGCGTACTGCTGAAGTGTGACAAGCTAGGACGAAACAGCTGTCCAGTATTCCTAGGTTTTCAAATGGTTCTCTAACCAATGTCAGCCCATGATGAAATCCCGTATATATATATATATATATATATATATATATATTCACTATCAACCGAATAGTGAATTACTCAGTTTGAGGATGGATTTCGATCAAAAACACCAGTATGTTATATGCAGCAGATAGCATCGAAACCTACCAGATCTGAAATGCACGTAAACAAAAAATGTGCGTCTGTCTGTCAAAATGCAGGTTATAATTATTCGTTGTGCAACTAATCAGAGACAATTACAATCTACAGTCAGATTGTCCTGTGCATATGATGGCCAACAGCCCCATCTCACACACGCACACAAACGGTTTCTATAGAAAACAAATCACAAATCAGTATAAATATTCGAGAAGAATTCAACCGATCAACAGATCAGATCGGTCGAGTGACAGAGATTGAGAGAGGTGAGTATCGATGCATTTATCTTTCACTATATTCTGTCTGACATATTCATTTTCGGTACATTACACATCATGCTTCATTCGTTAAACGAGAATAACCGGATATATTTTGATGTGTTCAGATATTTTGCTCCCTCTCCAAACAGCGTGAATATATTTAGATAAGAGAAAAGCACCTTAACACAGACTCACTTATCAGCCACACTCAAACACGGAGCTGAACGCGTAAATCGACGTTCACGCTAAATGCTCATCAGATGGAATCGCACTACTCATGTATCACTCATTGTATTCTAGTAAATTTCAGTTATCGTGGTTTCATTATTGTTATCATATTGTGTATTTACACATTCATAAGAGGAGCTGATTATTGCAATATGTATGCACCTCGCCTAATTCCATTCAGCATAGCTGTCATGGTTTGCAGTGTAGTAGTGATTTCGCAGAGAAGGCAGAGTGTAGACGTGGATAATGCCAGTCAGGTTTGACAGCGATGTTCTTCCAATATTCTCATATTGTCTTTCCTTTCTCTTTCACAGACTAACTGACACAACAAAGCATGCAGGGAAACAAATTCGTCGTGTTGCTGATTGCAAGTCTGTGTGTTGTTGCAGTGAATGCTAACCGTCAAGGTCACAGGGTGAATGGTGTTCAATCGGTTGGAGATGAATATTCGAGTGCATCTGGATATCTGGGATCAGTATTTCGACGTCAACAGAGTGGTAGACACAGATCCGGTCAGTCGTCATCAGGCCAATCAGGTCAGCAACAGCAACAATCGAATGTGGTGAAGAGGAAGATGATGTGTCAGTGTGAGAGTGAGGTGCCTCGAGGCCATCCACCTGTCAGGTATGACGCCTTCACTGAAGGAGACTACAACAATGGCTACGTATTTACTGAAGACCCATCTGGAAGCTATGAAGGCGAATATTTTACTGTCAAGAAGCGTCAACTGGCTTAACTGTCCCTGTCCTTCCATCTCACATCATGATGCATTGCAGTGGATGAATGTGTACCGGCGAATTCTGATGCAAATATGTGATACGAATATTGTCGCATATTTTGTACAGATTTTCTCCTCTTCATTACTGATTAGTTTCCCGGTTAAATAAAATGATTTCAATTCTATGAGTGAAATGTGTTTTCTTAGTTTTGAAATGGGAATATTCCTGTGTATGTATTTGTGGTGGGTGGGTTACAGGTTAACTTGAATTTTCGATGATTTTGTCAGTTGTTGAGTCAGTCGAGAAGAACAATTTCTGGGGAACTAGTTGGGTTTGCTAACTGTGGTATCGGAGCATCTTTTCGTGTTGATTTCACTTTAGCCTCTGATTATATTTGGCCTCTAGTATGTATGGTTCTGGAATGGAAGTGATGCTGTTCGTAGGCGAAATTTCTCGATTGTGAGCTGTTTTAGAAATATATATACGATGGTACGATAATAATGAACTTTTATATATATATTGTATCCTTAGGAATGATCTGATGTGTCGGTAGATGAATCCATGAACTTCACGCCGATGTTCGAACCCTGGTTTTGGATGTGTACTGCTTAAATATCCCGAACAAGGACGAAACAGCCAGATGCATATTTCCCCCTTAGGGTTGCTCAGTGGTTCTCTTACCGATATCAGTTATGATTAAGTCCTGTAACTAAATAATTCAAACCTCTGAAAAGCAACATTTCTATATCTGATTGACCTCATGAAAGATGGTTAGTCAGTCCTAATATCTACGATTAACATTTAAATGTCAAATGGGCATATATTAGCCAAATAGTAATAATTTCTGAATAATATGTATATATTAGGCGAAAAGCCTGGTTATGGATAACCAGAAAAGTCTGGGTAACCTCGAAATGTCATGTTTTTGACAGTTACTCACAACTCTGGCCCATCAATTTAAATAAATCATCTATCCTTAGTTAGATTTCGTTTCAAGAAGGAAATCAATTAGAGAGCCACTGAAAATTAGAGGCTTTTGAGAGGCTGTTTTGTTCCAATTCGGGACTCATTGGCAATGTGAACCTGTAACTCCACTAGAGGTTGTTGTATCCAATATCTTCGGGTTACTAGACAGAATTATTTACCATTCAGCTTCCAATTTGTAATCCAGTGATTCTGTAGACTCATGCAATGCATAGCGCCAAAGACACCTATGTTATCGATGCAAATCTGTCTTAGATGGAACATGGCGAACCCCACCGGTCACAAATTCTCATCAGAACTCTAGGAAGTTGATGCCGTTTCCAGCAACTAGTGACTAGCTAACTGACTATCAAATTCTAATCTGTAGGATGAAACATGTCTTCAGTGCCCATTTTTTATAGTAATCATTGTTACAGTGACCGTTGTTCCAGGAACTTGATCTTTCGTGCTTGGGAATATCTAATAGTGTAGTTAAATAAAGGTGTAATGAGAAGCATCAATAGCTCGAGATTATACCATGTGGTTTAGACTAGCCACAATTCTCATATTGAAGAATCCTTGTCTATCATGCATCGGGTATCAAAGAAATTTCCAAAAACATCTAGGTACCAACCGAATACTCCAAACAGCAGAGTCTGTCACAATTTGCCTTGAACAACCAGTGCTCTGTATGCAGAAGAAGCAAGCCCAGCGAGACATTACTACTTCCCTGCCCGAAGCTTCAGTGGAGACTATAAATTCACGAATTTGCATCATCAGTTTTCTTAATATCTCTGGTGTTCAATGTGTTGTCATGTTGATACTATCGAACTGCAATCCATAGATATTACTGTTATTGATTCGATGTTATTTAAACAACATTAATGTTGTTAATAACTGTAAGCGCAATATCGCTTGAAATTAAGTCACGTGTAGATAAAGGCTATCCCGGTCCAGAACAAACAAAAAGCCGGTCACTTTTTCTACGGTACTATTAATAAACAAATCAATAATTATATTATATATACAGCAAACCTTAACGGTTTCAAGAGTACAAAGCACAACGCTTAACAGAAACCAAGGTACCGCTATCAGAGTGGAATAACGTTAAAGCCAAAATTGCGAACTAGCCGGAACCAGACACGACCGTTCAGGTAAGCAGTCAGTAGAAGAATGAACCTAAGTAAGGCATGGCATAAAACAGAGAGCGTTTAAAAGAGATAGACTGAGCATAGGCACAAAGATAGAATTTAATTGGCTACTTAACCAGGTAGGAAAATACAGATGAAAATCAATAAATAAGATAAACTCGACAGAATAGTACAAAGTTAGACATGGGTCAGCAAAATAACCGTTCACAAAATACTCTGATTGGGCCATGAGTTCAACTGTCTGACTAAACGGATCGAGGTAAAAACACATATACACAGTTCATTAAACAAGCAGGGATAGACACGTTAGACATGGATAATTGGGTTGCAACAACGCTAGGCTGATCCGGGACAGGTTGACTTGATTCAAGGATGGGAATAGAATTTATCTTACAATAACACTAATTCACTCATTCACTATTATCTATATATAACTTTAAAACCTAGTGAAGAAAAGGTTATCGGAAAGTATACTCCTTGTCGAGTAACCATCGTTTTGAAAATTTTAATTGGCATTTTTAGTCAATTATTGTTCCCTTAGTTTCAGAGTGGAACATGGGGTTTCAACGGTGCATCTGTATTTCAACTTGTTCTCTCTACAGTCCTGTTAACTGGTCCAACGAATTCCTTTAATCTCTGATCTTATCTTCGCACATTACCTTCCATATCACCATCACACTCACGTCCAACTTGTCGTTTACCAATAAAGATTCACTCGAACGATAGCCTGTTGCGTTGTATCACTCAACGGTCTCCTCAGAGCGTGCCTCATTCACCTCTACTTTCCTCCGAAGATCTGTCGATAGACGCATTATTGGATTCTTTGTTCCATTTGCTTTCGCTTTCTAATCTTTTCTGTTTAGCCAGCCATTAGATTTTCAGTTTTGAGCCAGCGAAGGCAGCTGTTGGTCAGAAGTATTCAGTAGCCTTTTGGAAACGCTTTTCCCGTGACACTGGTTTGATGTTTCTGACCCATATAGAAGAACAGAGGGGCTTAAAAATGACATTAGAAACCCGAAATTCCTTCCTTATTCTGCGGGGTGCAGACGACTTCCACAATGATTTCAGATATCTAATGAAATGAACACCTTGGCTTTCCGACTCTGGCTAGCTTTGACATTCTCATAGGTTCCAACTTCCTGTTGTTGAAATGATGCTGACCATCCAGTTAAGTTAAGGAAGTTATCTCTTTCACATTTCTTCTTCTTCCGTTGATGATAATTGCTGCTGGTTGCTTTTGTTGTTCTTGTTGGTGGGTGCATTGTTATCTTCCTCACCTCCGTCATCTCTTTGTTCGCGTGGAGGCCCGTTGCTTCATCAAGTCTTATTATCCCAGCGTACTCCTGTTTCCTCACTCCCATGCACAGTCTGATGAATAATCCAGCCTACCACAATTAGGAATAGTGCCGTTAGTCTCCAGTAAATCTCTGCTTGATGCCTGTTCAAGCCTAAATCTGAAAGGGAATCAATCAAATCCCTGGAATAGAACATTTGAAATCTCTCTATATTATCACTTCTACCAGTTAACTTACATTTTATTGTCAACGAAATTTACCACATTCACATCTTTTATCTCAAAATCAGTCTGACAAAAATTTTCAGACTTACTTTTTTACTGGATCTCCTCGGTGAACTACACGTGTTTGGTTTTCCCTGATATCTGGATGGAGATTATTGATAAAGAAAAAAGTAGCAGGGACCTCTTGGCAGTCGAGGAGCTCAACGGCATTCTTTGATACTCTGTTAAGCTTGCTGTAGTAGACGGGAAAATAAATTTTCGAGGATTGTGTCGATAACTGTGAATATCCGAAGTGGTTGCGGAAAGCGTTTCCCGTACGGAGTTAAATACATCATGCATTGAATTCTTCTAACCTCATGCGATCACACATCCCAGAACTTCGACGGAATATTTCACAACGTCTTCAGCTCTTACGAATTACTCACCGATGAATGTGAATGATTCATAGGATACGTTAATACGGTTGCCAACATAACTTCAAAACCTGCAGTGACCCAGCTCACCAATATCTCAAGTCGATCAAACTTACTACGAATTTGTATCCATGGTCTCTTCAGTATCTTTATATGATTTCTTTATTACAGCTTGATTCCACACCGTACTTTTGGTACAGGTATCGAATTTTCAGCATGTGATATCGATAGCCTAAATTTTGCAGGCGGACTATAGATATCAGGTGTGCGTTGGCAGGGATCGAACCCCGGACCATGTGCATAATCGCCGAGCTGGAAGTCTTGTTTTCAGGCCCGAAATTCTGAGATATCAACTTCAACGTCAACAAACTTCATATTCATGTACAGTCTGAAAAGTCGGTCAGCCAAATCAATGATCTGATCCCAATTCCTGACGAAGAATTACAACGATTCAAACCAACAATCATAGATTACTGCCACCACTACGACAGTACAAAAATACACAATTCCGCAACCCCCTGAGAAGGCAGCACCAAGGAGACTTAAGACACTCGAGAGATGGCAAAGAACTGCAAATAACCCGTCCTGATAACAGTGTTGGTGTAGTTTATTTTGAACTGCAAAGACAGCATGGCGAAAATGAAGAATATCCTCTCAGACGAAAGGAAGTTTCCTCAATTTCTCAACGCAACAAATAAAACTGCACTGATTGAGAAGCAGCCTACGGATGTCTTAAGAAGAATGAGAGCTGACCAATTAATTAGATGTCATATCTACGATTATATCCGCCTAACAGCTTCAATAATACCGAAGGTTATTCTATAGCAAAGATACACAGAGTTAGTCACCCTCTTTATCAAAATCATAATACGTCAGATTGTCCATATCATTCTATTGCAAAATGGTTGGCTGATATTCTAGAACGAATTATGGAAACATGCGTGCATGTACTGGCTTCATGACACTTTCCAATTCATTGACTGCATATGTAACATGAATGTTACTAAAAAGAGTGTGCTACCCTTCGACAGTGGATCGCTGTCCACTAATGTCTCACTCACGGAAAATTTCTGTTTTATTTACGTGAATATACAGATGATGACCACCTCAACATTGGAATTCCAACAACACGTTCGAAAGATTTGTT